CACACACACACACACACACACACACACACACACACACACACACACGTGCAACTCAATGTCTCCCTTGGTATTCAGCCCCAAACAGCTTTCCAGGGTTGTGGCTGAAACAAGCAGGATTATGCGCGGTGACACCAGCAACTAGCCTCGACACATTAATCTGTTTTGCATATTGGATGTTTTTATTGTCTCGTTGCCCGATGTCACTGTGAAACTGGGCTGTAGCTGCTGCGTGTCTGCATGGACAGTATCATGGCTCATTATTCGGTGGATTTACTTTAGCGCCACTAAAAATGAAGATCTGCAGTTGAGTTATACCTTTGTAGTTGAGAATGATGCATGCATAAAACATGCAAAAGCATTAGAAATGCGCTCCAATCCAAACTTGAAATAATGAAGCATTATATTAAAAATTAGAATAGCTAAAAAGTGCACAGTTGTGCGGCGTCCCTGTGTCTCCCAGCTCTTTGCACTAGCATGCTTGCTTCTGCAGTCCCAGGGAGACATTCACTGCTGAAAATGACACTATTTTCCAGCTTTGGTAGGAGAAAGAGTGAACTGCATTTTTGGTAAGCTGTGGTGCAGGTCCGCAAAAAACCCATGCATATGTTCACCAACGATTGCAAAACACGATTAACCCTCTCGCTCCCACAGCTTCAGCCTCACCCTTCCCAGGAATATCACAAACCTGTCATCTCTAGAACCTGGAGATTTATCCAAGTTCCTTACTGTAGATAAACTGCTGTGTGCTGTGAGCATTTAGGCCAGTGCCTGTAACTTATGATGGAGATATTAATCTAAAATATGATCGGTTACACTTACACATGCCTGGGAAATATAAAATATATAAATAAAGAAGTTTTCTAAAAGCTATAAACTTTTATTTTTGCCTAGATTTTTGTGGACAGTTAATGAGACCATCGACTTTGACATCATGTTTGAGCTCCTATTATTGTAGTCCAAATTTCCACAGGAAATGTAAAAGATTATTCCTTCCATTTACTGTAAAACAGATGCCGTTTATTACCACATAACACAAATGACCAAAGATATTAGCTTTTTTCCTTAAAAATAAAAGTTAACTAAGCTTAATATGTTGTAAATATAACTGAAGAAACTCCCTCATTTCCTCAATCATCCATCATCCCCATCTTTTATTTTCTGTGGTGTTTTATCCCACCATCACTTCTGTGGGAGTTAACATTTGCTGTAAGTCTTGTGGGATCTCCACTAAGGAATTCCACATGGTTAGACTGGAGCTCCTGTTTCCCTCTCATAGCAAAGCGCATGCATATGTGACTGCGTGCATGCATTAGCGTTCATGAAGAAATAAAGGTTTACAGCACAAAGTCAGACGTGGCGTTAGACCGCAGGACAAACATGTGTGACCACGGGCAGGGGGAGAACGCCTCTGATGGAAAAACCAGCCAAAACCACTGGAATGTTCTTTTACTTTAATTGCAGTCTTAACCATTAAGACTCATAATGCCGTCTGCTTTATTTCTACCTGGCTGGCCAGACTGCAGCGTGCACACTGATGACACATCATGCCTTAACACCTCAGAGAAAAACAGCTTGGAACTCGGCCCCAATCAGGTCAACGTTAGGCAGAGCTCAGACCAGAAACTAAAAGAAACCAGATGGGATGGGAAAGCAGAATGTGCAGTGTAAATGCAGTTGCATACAATGATGTCAGATATCACCGAGAGCCTGGAGACTCGTGCTGGTTCTGGCTCAGTCATAAAGCCTTAAATGAGGCCAACTGAATGGCAGTGGAAAGGCTGTAATTGCAGACACCAGTTAAATTTTGGGCTTGAGGTCAACTCTTGCTGCATATAATCCATCTCATATTTCCGTCCACCTCTCCCATCAAGATGCCAGCGGAGCCCGACGCCGGTTAGCAGCTCCCGCCTCATGCGTTTGAACCTACCTTGTGGTTTTTGCCGTGTCTGTAGATCATCCAGTCTTCTCCGTTCGTGCTGACCTCTAGCTTGAAGGAGGTAACAAAGTAATTCTTCTGCGTTTCCTTTGAAATGGCGCCCTGTGTGGCAATGCCGGTAAGCACCTTCAGAGTATGGAGGTCCACCTGTTTGGGGAGAGAAAGGTTTTGAACTTTTACTTAATAAGAAAATGATGACAAAGTAAAAGAAAACACAGAACTCCTCAGACTCAAATGTACTGAAGATGTAAGATTTCATTCTAAAGCTATCGTTGATCAAAGAAATGTCTGAAGACCTTTTAAGTGCAACAGCAGTTGAAGACACACAAAAATAATTACACAAATATACACCTGGAGTTATCTGCATCCATCTCCCCCGTTCGGCACTCTCTCCTCCCCTCCTCATCTACTCCTCTCAGTTTCTTTCCACTCTGCGGCTCTCTCCTGGCAGATCGATAGTAATGACCCGGGGCTCATTTTAATTTCCTCCCATACAATAGCTATAATCACCTCCCCGTCCTGATTGTGGATGCTACGCTACGTGGCTGGCATGCTGCTCGCTGCGTTGCATTATACATGGGGAGCACTGTGTAGGATGCGAAGCTTCAAACTCCGGGATTTCAAGGTCCCTGAAGTAGACTCGAATTTATTTGCTCCATAGTGCCCAAAACGAGTAAACACAGCAGAGCGATGAAGGTATTTAAATAACAACGGAAAATAACAAGACGTTGTTATAAATTCTCTCAATATGGAAGGAGTCAAACGAAACAATAAGTGATGGTGTTTGGGAAGACACTGAACACTGCTAATGAACGGCTGCATATTTATAACAAACACTGCTGGTCTGAAAATACCTGAAGTAAAATGTATTAATATAAATCACTGAAGCTTTAGTGGAGTTACCTGCCAGGATCAGAGCACACCTGTGATTCTTTAACCCAAGTATTTCACATTTTTAAAGACACACACACAGAGGAGCAGATGAGAAAAGTTCGAGTGTAGATTACAACATTTGCTCTCCTCGACTGGAGCTGCAGAAACCTGCAGATTAATCAGAACTTGTTGTGTGTGTTTGCTGTGCGAGTGTGTGCTGTATGTCCCACTGAGGTATCGTACAAAACACCAGGGGAGGTAAAATGCTGCGTTTGTTATCTGTCAGAGAGACAGGTGTTCCAGATTACTTCCACCAAACACACACACAGGCGTGCACCGGCAGGGCCAGACAGAGATCCACCAAGACAACTAATCGATAACACGAAACCGAGGAGAGGAACAGATGAGAGGAGAAGGCGGGGTGAGTATGGGAGGAAGAGGGAGAAAAGAGAATGAAATCCAGGGGGGGTTGAGGGCTAAGTGAGACTTCCCAAAGAAGGAAGGAAGGTCCCTCATCAATCACAGAGCTGTTAGAATAACAGAGCCACCAGCACTCGCATCATCAATCTGCACCACACCTCAGTGAGCCAGGCCAGAATAGAATAGAATAGAATAGAATAGAATAGAATAGAATAGAATAGAATAGAATAGAATAGAGGAGCTATCCTAAATTTATTAAAGCACGCCTGATCTGAAAACTCAGCTCTGCACTCACAAGCACTAAGCTGTAAGACTCCACAGGGTGCAAGATACAAGAAGGAGAGGCACGTTGGCATTTATGACAGCTGCTCATCAAGGCGGACACACACACACATGCATGCATGCATGCATGCAGAGGCATTGCTCTGTGCTAGGTGTTAATGCAGAGGAACAGCTGAGAGCCTCTGTGGAACACGATGCCCCGACCACAGCACCGCCGACCAGAGAGACACAAACCCAACGCAAACCGGGAGTTTCTCCCTGTGAGATCACATCGTCTGTCTGAGCGTCCGAGGAAAAACAGGAAAAACATGGAAATGAAATAATGTGTTTTATACAAATTGTTTTCTGTCAGCTACTTCTGAGAGTGGCCCTGAGGGTGTGAGGTTTCAGCTGTGAGAGGCGTTGTGCACTTCCTCTTGGCCACAATCTCTTCCTGTGTTTTTATGAGGTCTGAAGTGCTGCTTCTAATCCACGTCTGTGACTACTGTGTTTGTGACACTGGTCCAGCTAACATAAAGGAGACGTTTGTCTGTCATAGACAATAAGTGCTTAATAATGTTTAATCTCTGCAGCCCGCCACTAAAGATACGTACATTTTTTCCTCTAAAAACATTTAATGCATAAATATCTGAGTTACTGACACTGCTAACAAACAAATGGATGCTAGGCTCTCATAGCAAGCCACGCTCGTATTGCACTCTGACTGTGTAGTAAATTTAGGAAACCTGGGAATAAACTCAGCCTTGCAGCTGGCAGCCAGGCAAGTCAGAAAACTGTAGGAGAAGTTAAGGTCAGCAGTTTGCAATCTGGCGTGCAGCATCTTGCAAAAAAAGGTTCCAAGATAAAGATAAAATAAATAAGGAAAGTGTAAATGTCATACGTCTGAAACAGGAAGTTGTATCACTTAAAGGACTAAAATTAACACAGAAGGTATGCAGCGGTTAGTCAATCCATGCTTGAGCTGATCCTAACTAGTTAACAAATGCAACCTGTAAAGAACGTTCAATAGGCAATGCTTTAGGGGTCGTAGGTCAAACAGGTTTAAGTGATAATCAATCTCGAAAGTCACTCGTCTGCTGAAACAGCCATATCAGGGTCGAGGCTCACTGTTCGGCCTGCTCTTTGATCGATAGAAGTCCTGAAAGCTTCCTTATCCCCCCCTTCAAACATGTGTGCATGAATATGAATATATATGTGCAAACATGTGTAAATGGCTTTAAAAACAGTCGTTTTAAACATACTGGTGAGTTATAAATGCTTTCTCCTTTTAAAGAACTGGAAGAAACCCCAGTAAAGATCCCATGTTTACTACTTAGTTACATTAAAGGTTAAAGCCTCTTCTACAAAACACACCTGTAGCAAAACCAGTCCCCCCTAAAGGTATTTGTCCCTTTGCAAAGCACAACGCTAAAGCTGCGTGCTGGCTTTGTGAGGCTACCCCTACGTGACAACCAAAAAGGTAATCTGTTGTTTACAAAAGGTGTCTGGCTGAAAAGCAGCCCTCTGACCCGCCTGAGTCTTCCCCGTCTCAGGGGGTGAGTCGGCCTCGCCTTCCCTTCCCATCTCACCCAGACAGCCTCATAACTCAAGCTCAGGGATGGCGCAAAGTTGGCACAGAGCTGGAACACAGGAAACAATGCCTTACCCGGGCATCGAGCTGCTAAACCTTGATAGCGCCACACCTCCCACTCGCTCTGTCTCTCTCACTTGCTCTCCCACATACGCTGACAAATATATCTGCGGTAGAGTTATTATGTGTGATATGTCAACACGAGGAAAAATATGGTGTTAAGATGGGAGCGCAGTCTGTTTTTAGTTTAGGCAGAGTAAACTTCTGCATTTAAGGATTAGGGTCTGGAAATAAAACAGTGAAACGTCCGTGAAATAATCTTTCCAGAGCTCGAGGTGTTCGAGGAGCGGCTTTTTGAACCGTGTGAGGTTTCTGGATGGACACACTCATACCTGTATGTACTCCTTGTTGCTGTCGTCCGAGGGCGTCCACGCGTTATCGTTGTAATTGAGTCGGGCCTGTCGCGGCAGCCAGCGTTCGTCGGCGAAGGTCGACGACGCCGCGATCTGGTCGTCGGTGATCTTTCCTGACTCCATGCCGAACGCGTTACTGCAGTGGAAGGCTGTAAGAGGAGGGGGGAGCAGATCTTGACAAATATCCGTGTTTCGTTTGCGTTATTTTGAGAGAAAACACGCTACAAACTCCGGCTTACTCTCGCTGACTTCCTTGTGCGTCATGTTATAGCGAGCCGAGAAGCCATCTTTAGCCACGGCCATGTCCGTGTGGAAGGACAGAGAGAGGATCCCAGTGGATGACTGGATCTCGGGAGGCACCCTGGTCCCACAGTATCGACCGATCAGAGGGCCCACTGTCAATCAAACGGCAGTTAGTCATCATTTATTTGTTTGTGTGTTACTGAACCTCGCACTCGTCCAGCGGTCGAGATTATAATCTTATGTTTTTCATCTTTTAACCTCACGCTTGTTTATTTGTATCCTTCATGACTTGCACTGATTTTCCTGCATCTGCTCATCACTCCACCCCCTCATGTCCTCACCTCCCTCCTTTCATCCATCTGGACACGGTTTGAGAAAGTGCACTAATATATACAAATACACACATACTGTACATCTGTGTGTGTGTGTGTGTGTGTGTGTGTGTGTGTGTGTGTGTCTGTGTGTGTGCACAGATCTAAGTGATTCCTCTACTGTCTTCTTCTCTAATACCACAACTTGTATATGTCAACACAAACAGATGAGTGTGATTTAAAGCCCAAGGGTCTGTGTGTGTGTGTGAGTGTTACACAAATAGTTGACTCATCCTGCTACTCCTTCTTTTACACACACACATATACACATGAGAAGGTTTGTGGAGGAGGAGAGAAAATAGCCGGCGATCGATCAGTGCTATTGATTTTCTCCCCTTCCCTTTTGGAATGGGTGGATATTTGAAATAGGGCTCTTGAGCAAATAATGGTAATAAGTCTTTTCTTGATTGTGGTGAGAGAAAAGGAAAGCAGGAAAAGAAGACGAGAAGACGAGAGGAGGCAAACACGTGAATATTTTTAAAGATTATATATTTTTGGCTTCCCATTTCGGATGGATGGGTTTAGATTTTAGGAGATGAAAACGAACTCAACAGAAATGACTCGTGCATATGTGTGCACAGAGGAAAACCTGAAAACAACCGTTTGGTGTCTCTGCCGCTAATCGAGTGAGCGCTGTTTTATTATCAGGCTCTCGTTCCCTTTACATTTTGAATAAATCGATTTTTAGGTCAGCTGGCTGTCTCGCAGCGTCTCCTCCCTCCTCCCACTCCTTTCACCTTTTGCTGTTAAAAAAAACAGACTCTTTCCGCTTGCCTTTTCACTCTTCCTGTCGAGGATTTTTTTATTCCTGAAACTAAAAGTCCTTCACCTCTGACTCTCACCCAGTAAATTTCCTTCCCTTTCCAACCCTCTCCCTCTTCATCTCGCTGTATTTCCCGTTGCCTCCCTCCATCACTCAAAGCAGAAGTCTTCTCTTCTCTCTGACCCCTGAAGAAAGGGATTTTTTTAGTATCCCTTCAAGCTGCTTCCTCCGTAATGTGCATCGTGTCTCTGTTTTTCCATTGTGCCTAAGGCGAAATTCATGTTTACAGAAAGGAAAGCACTGTGTTATTCCAGTCAGTCTTTGCTTGATGTTTTTAATGGTTTTATAATACTTGTTTAATATCCTCTGTGTCTATACTCTGACAGTTTTTAAAGCAAAGTTTTAAAAGTTAAAATAAAATTGGCAAAGTTTTCCAAATATTTAAATGCTTCTTTCTGGACGTCTTTCCAGCCCAGCTTTGTTCTCCCACTCCTCCTGTCGAAGGTAGACCAGAGGTCATTCCTTTGCTCCAGCGTTGCCAGCAGTCGATGACTTCTCTTTCTCCTTCTGTTTCTTTCTACCTCTTCCATTGCTTGAAACTCAGTCCAAGGGTTGTGCGCCTCAGAGTTGGAGTCCTTCTAAACTTCCAGTTCTTGTAGCAGTTAGACCAGAAATATCCCACCCTCCACTGTTCCTCCTCTCACTCCCTTTCTTTTCTCCCTTTGCTCAACAGTTGCTATTTTTTTCCCTTGAAAAGTTGCATTGTTTCTCCACAGTGGGTGCCAGCATCCTGCCTGTAAGCTTAGCTTTCATCTACCAACGCATAGCTTCTAAAATAGCTGCTACTCCACCTCGGTCAATAATGATGTAGGCAGGGCAGAGCACATATATTACTCACTTTGCTCTCTGCACTGACTCATGACAAGGCTGAGAAATAGTTTGACATCTCCATCAGCATCATCGCAGCAGCCGTGACAATAACGCAGTGATCACACGATCCGACAGATCCGAAGCATAAATGTCGTACCTCCCGGGAGCCCGTCCCAAACTTCCAGCCAGTCGTACTTGCAGTCTCCATCTCCACCTGGCAGGGGATCGTTCTCCAGGTCAAAGGTGAGGAAGGTGAGGGTGACATCCATTCTGGGCGGGACAATGATGATGAAGGCGCACTCGAGGTTGTGGGGGTATTTGTCGGGAAATCCCGGGGACTCGACGAGGCCCGAGGGACTGGTAAAGTTACGGGAACAGTCTGAACCTGGGATGAAGACAGAGAAACAAAACGTTGTGTACATTAATCAAAACTTCATGTTAATAGCAGTTAAACGTTGATTTAAATCATTAACTGGAAAAATCTTGGAACAAGATTTGTTTAGAGAAGAATGTCGACGCTCATTACACTTCAAACTAATGACATTACTCCGGGCAGACACCCAGAGGTGCTGTTTTTAGAGGCGAGCACTTTAAACTCAACTCAGTGCATGTTTCTCTGTTTCATAACTCCCAGCTCTGCTATCTCAGTTTTATTTAGATACTAAAACATCCACTTCACATAATATATGTCTATGATTGGGGCTACAGAGTGTCAATGAGTGTGCTTAAGTAGCTCGAGTTCACATAAAGGCCGATCTCATGGACAGACACAGGCTGAGGGTTTCACAGAGGACAAAGCTGTAAGATAACAGACGGCTAATTTCTTTGTTTGTTTTTCCAGCTCAAAAAAACAAACACAAAAAGTCAACTCATATTAAATATTGCCTTTCTAAGGTGGTAAATCCCCAACTTTTCCACGTTGTGCAAGACCACAAAAAAGCACTAATATTCTGCACCGAATGCCAAGTTTCAGTATGCAGAAAGAAAAGGATCGGCCCACGTTTTAAGTGCACTTAAGCCAGACTTTCTATTGCTGACAATTCCTGGGAAAAAGCACAGAGAGTTTCAAACCCGCTGCAATCTTTAAGAAAAATTAGCAACACTGGAGATGGTACGAGACAAACAGAATAAGAGGAGTGAGAGAGACAGACGGTCTGCTGACGGTGTCATGGATGGGTGGTCCAGCAGTTAAGAGGAGCTTTAGACATCATAATACATGCGCACAGTCACGCACACATAAACATGCTGTGACAGGGCGGTGTTACCCTCTCTATTAATGCACGCACACAGTGTGCTTGCACCAACTGGACCATTATTCCAGGCCACCCAGCCATAAGACCAAACACTGTCTAAGCCTCTTAGGGTAACCCATGTCTCTCATGAGTTAATGAAGAGAAGTTAGCAGACACTAAAACACTGTGAGCTCTGTGGCATTGTAAAAATGAACCTAAACTACGTGTTTGCAACAACCTGTACAATAGACACGTTTCAGCTGAATTCTTTAGTGCTAACAGCTTGTGTTTTATGCTTTTCACAGCAACCCAACGGGTTTTTGGAGCTTTAAGTCTGTTTCATTCTGACTTACATGCATAACTAAACAGATGGCGTACACTCAAAAAAAATTCACCCTAAATAAACATGAAGCAACATTTTTGAGTAAAATCCAAAATATATAAATATATAAAACCAAAGGTTTATGTGATTAAATGCTTAATCTTTAAGGAAAATGTGTTTGGTATAAACTGAATGTATATTTTATCTGATCAAATGACATTAAAGGTGACATTTTACTTTGTACTTGTGTTACAAAATTACATGGAAGCTGCAAAAATGTTTCTAAATGTATCAAAGTACTGTGGATAAACAGACCCGCTGTAATGGATCACTGCAGCTAATAGTGAGCGTAAGTCAGCGTGTAAAGGAAATTTGAATGACTAAAGACGAGTAGACATTTTAACCAAATGTTTCTGCTGCTCATAGTCGACACTCGGCCCTGATGACACGCACACGAACACTTCAGACACCACAGATGCTTAGTTGTTCTTACAGCATCGTCCACATGGCCACAACGATCGCTCATCGTAGCTTTCTATATTTGCGAATGAACAAAATACAACACATGTCTCTGTCTCCTCCCTGCTTTTTTTCAGTCTGTGGAATTTCACTCAGCAAATGCATAAATCTGCCGGGACATGTGACTGATTTATGCCAGCTCCGATAAACCAAAGCATCGTCTGTGGACTTTTCTCACATTCTGCTTTGTTTACCGAATGTCTCCTTTATTTCTGGCATCATTAATTTTCCACAACGTCATCTATCTTTAGTTTGATAAAGATGGCCTGCATGCATATATCCCGGTTTTTCCTCTTCCTCCCTGGTCTATTTTTCTTGTTATTGTGACCTTTTCCCTCGTGCGGTGACCTCAGATGCGAGCAAACACACGCTCACCCAGAGACAAACACTGTCGCTCGTTGCGTCTGGCCCCCCTGCAGAGTCCATCACTGAATAGCGTGAGCCCGTGTGACTATTAGTGCGAGTGCCCGCGCGTGTGTAGAGTAAACGCCTGACCAGTTTTCTGCCCGCAGTGATTTTTTCCCCTTTCATTACTTCACGTTAGTGGACTCTGCAAAAACACTTGTGCCCTCCTTTCTCCCATCTTCCTCCAGTCTGTCCCGTCTCGCTCTCTACCTCCACCTTCTCCGATTTCCTTTTGTGTTCACCTTCCTTCCCATCTGTTTGAAGCGGGTAGGTGTGAAAGAAACACGTGTTTAACTTGTAAGGGTTGGGGAACTGCGGTTAGCGTGCCGTGTGTGTGTCTGCATGAGGGTGTGTGTGTGTGTTGCTGGGTAGATTTGGTGATGGGGCTTAAGGCTCGCAAGGCACTGAGAGATAGGACCAACTTTCTCAGCATGTGTTTTAAAATTATAAGCTTGTGAGTGCATGTAAACACTTTTATCTAAAATGTGAACATAAAATATAATTCCCATAAAAATCTGCACGTTTGTTTATGTGAAGCTCTACTTTTATTCAAGCTCCTTTCCAAGCCTTCACCAGGCTCTCGGGCTCTCCTTTCATCAATCTCTAACAAACACACACACGTCCACATGTAGAGCAGATTTACTGTAACATACACACACTGAAAGGCGACCACACACAGTTTAACAGCTCCAGCAACCGCAGCCTTGCTTTCCATATGTGTTTGGATTCCACTGCAGCGTTGTTTAAGTTGGAGGCTCGTGGCGCTGAAACTCTGACATTACATTTGAGCCTCTGTCACTGCATCACTGAGGATTTCTCTTTATAAACTCACTCTGACATGAAAACTAACTGCCATCCCTGTAGTCCTCCCACTCCAGTTTACATTGGAAATTTGATATTTGCATCTGTTTTGGAGCTGAAACTCTGCAGATAAGTGAAAGATTCCTAATTAACTGTAAATTTATTGAATATTTTAAAGAAAATTCTGCTCTTTGTTGCACTCCTTTAAGCTCGGGGCACCTTTTGCTTGTTGCTAGGTCAGATCTGGATCCACTTTCTTCAATAAAATTCAGCGACGGCAGGAGGGAGCGAGGTGATTGGTTTAACAGTCTAATGAACTGACTCGATGGGTAGCCGGACAGAGGCAGAGAGGAAGTGCCTGAAGCCATTAGGCAGAAAGGAAACAACAGCGGTAATCGGAAGGATCGTCACGACAGCTTCCACATTACCCGCCTAGTGCATGTATAGAGAGAGGTGGCTGAGTGTGCGCATGTGTGGGAAGGTGTGCGTGGGTGTGCTTGTATTACTCACAGAAATTGTTTTGCTCAGTTTCAATCACTTCACATTTAGGTCAGAAACTGTTGCCCACGAGGTCGCGTTTTTAACTCAGTGTGAGCGTTCGGTTTTGGGTTAGTGTTAAAGGTTTAAGGTTAGGCTCGGCTGAAGTTCAGGCCAGGGTGCGTCTACACTATTAATTAGTGAAATGTCCACTAATGCAAAGATAAGCAGTGTGTGTGTGTGTGTGTGTGTGTGTGTGTGTGTGTGTGTGTGTTTGTGTGTGTGTGTGTGTGTGGTGTGAGTGTGTGTGTGTCGTGTGTGTGTGTGTGTGTGTGTCTGTGTGTGTGTGTGTATTAACATCTCCATGCAGACACGCAAGCTGCCCTGCATTTGTGAGTAACCCTTCAGCCTGCATCACTGAATTCGTGTGTGTGTGGTGAGTTCTGGGTCACAATAACAGCTGGGGGCACACTGCCTAGACAGTGAAATTTGATTGGTCGGCTGTGTTTCCATTGGCTGGAATTTTACTACAATCTCCATAGCAACAGGGCTGTAAACAATAACAACAGTAGCACGTCGTTTTGTTTTGACATTTCCGTTGTTTATATTTTATGTCTGTTTATGTGCTTCGACTTTAATGGCGGCTACTGGCGTGCACGCGTGAGCCTTCCATGTTCGTGCACATGTATGTGTGAATGCATTACATGTGCCTGTGTTCTCCATGCAAACCTACTCCTCACTCCATAACACACCCCAGTAACAGGAAGGGTTTGCAGCTAAGGCGTCCTCTAAATGTTCAGCCAAGCGAGTTAAAGCTTTGAAATGCTAACAATCCAACAACACAGGGCACTGAAACTGAGCGAATCACTGAACTTTCTTATAACAAAGACTTCAGTGTGAGCTTCAGATTCACAAAGAATTTTTTTTGAATTGGAAAGATTCAGATTAATTTAATTTTAAACTTTATGCTCCTGAGAAATCAAGCCTTCCTCTTCCAAGAAACTGCAAGGCTCTCACCCCAGTAAACAGTGTCCCGGTGCAACGATGTTTACTGCTACTGGAGGCAAAAGAGGACAGAAGAAATCAAATAAAATGAGAGAAAGGTCAACGAAATGAATGGATGAATTACATCAAAGCAAAAAATAGTCATAAATTCAAATTTTGGAACAATTTAAAAGAAGAAGAGCTGTGGTGAATGTTTTTTTTAAAAAAGAGGACAATGCATAAACTTAAAGCTCTTCTCAAGAAGTTTCTGTCTTGTTTTGTTCCACATATTTTTGTGCCAAGCAGTGAGACTATATTTACCCGTAAGTGGAGGCCGTGAAAATGCAGGAAAAGAGGAGAAGAGAAGCTTTTTCATCTTTCTTTTTCATTGAACAGAACTGAATGTGCAGGTGCCAAAAACAGATATAAATTTAGATGGTTCTCCGTGAGGGTATACAGATTGTCTAGCATACACTCACACACAAAATCGAGTCATCCACACAACCAGACGCTCAGTTGCACCTTCCAGGATAACAAGATCTTGTTAGCCGTATGACAACAGCTTGAATTTTCCAAATGGCTCCATCATTACTGCCAGAAAAGGCTGGACACACACACACACACACACACACACACACACACACACACACAAACTAAGAAAAGTCCTGCAGAGGATTCATAGGAGTTGGATTTAAGTGGTTACATATTAAAATTTGATAAGTAGAATGAGTTAAAAGTATTTCTCATATCTCAAATAAAACGTTTGACCATTTAAACACAATAAATGTGTGATTGTAGTTATGGCAAAATACCCAAACAAGGTATTTGTAATGTTTTAATGTCAGTCTAACTGCACACATCATCAGCATTTCCAAACCACAAATGGCAGAAACTCAGAAATGCGATGAACAAAGAATGCTCTTCTTGCTCATTAAGCTGCACGTTACATACATTTTACTGAATAAACTACAGTAATGTGTTGGAATTATGGAGTTAAGATTAAAAAGAGACACAAACGAGTGTTTACACGCAAAGAAAAAGAGAAATGACTTGATGATAAATTCAAAACAAAGTAACTGATTCACAAATCTGCCTTTCTCTCTTTTTTTTTTGTCGCTCTCTATTTCTCCCTCGGGTGCTTGAGTGTGAACGCTGACACTCATGTTCATCAGGTGGACTCTGTCATGTGTAACAGTCACACACACACACACACACACACACACACACACACACACACACACACACACACACACACACACACAGGGAAAGACAAGAAATCCCAAAACGCTGGTGCCAGCAAGTGAGAAACACCAACGAGCACACGTGTTGTGTTAGTAACCTCAGCCCTCTGTGTGTGTGCATGTGTGTGTTTGTGTGTCTCAGGGGAGCAGGGCTCAGGACTCAATTAAGCAGGCATGTGTGGAATGCTTTCAGGGGGAACGGGACAAGATGGCCATGGGGCCGACGCTACGCGCCTCTCTGTCTCGCATGCCCTTGATCTCAATTGGTCTCGCTTTGGCTGACCCGTAGCAGCGTGAAGGGGAGCCGTGTCGGATACACACACTTCTACACACACACAAAGTGCCATGAAGGGAAGAGATGTCTTGCCTGGACAGACTAAAGAGCTCTCGAGGGTCCTCGGCTGCGTCTCTTGTGGTTTTCGCTCTGTCTCCATTGACACCAGGGAGATAAACGAGTCTTGGTCGCCTAATGAAGCATGTTCAATCCTCTGCTAGCTTGTAATACAGTTACTAATAGCCTATTCATGGGTGCAGTTCTTATAAAATCCTGTTCACTCATTGTTAAGGCTGCCCGCGTGTGCGGGTCATTTACAGTGATAATGTCCTTTTTGGGAGTGCTGGATAGACTTTATGGGTGCCGATGAAGAGGGCTTTGTCAGCTGTACAACAGTGTCGTACTGGGGTTGTCCTGGCAGTTTAAATTCTAATTTAATAAATGTCATTACAGGTTATTAAGCTTGAGTCTGCAATCCGTGTCACCTGGGCTGGAGCCTATCGCAGCCAACACAGGGGGAGATGACAAAGGCAGGCATCCACACAAGTCAGAAAAAAGTATGTTGAGTGACTGTGGCTCAGGCGATAGAGCGGGTCATCCACCAATCAGAAAGTCAGTGGCCCCCTGTCTCCTCCACTCTGCTGGTTAAAATACTGAACCCCACGATGCCCCAATGCATTGTGGGATGGGGTGTACTTGCAGGGACTCCATCAGTACCAGTCCATGTCATCATGTCTTTGGACTGTTGGATGAAACTGGAGCAGCCTGGCTTAGGTAGAGCATGCAAACTCCACACAGAAGCCCAAATGTGCTAACCACATCCGCCCATGAATCAACCACTGAATACAAACTGTTCAGTATCAAAGGATCTTTATTCTTTATATATATATATATTAAAAAAAAGATCAGCGTAAGTGAAAACTTACCAGTTTTGAAGATTTCATAGCGGAGCGAGAACCCCGCCCCCTGGTGGGCGTAGTCCGACACAAACTTGATGTGGAGCGCAGGCCCTGAGGATATGATCGGCGGGGGGGCGATGTTGCTGCAGTGCTTCCCCAGTAGGTCAGCTGACTCTGAGTTCCCGTCATGGATCTCTACATAGTCATACCTGCGACACACAAACACACCTCACTAAACACCTGGACAGAATTTCCAGTGGCGATTCAGAGCTCGGTCGCAGGCAGAAACACACATTCACCAATCACGTTCAGCCTAAAATACACGAGTATATTCGAGAACATCTGAAAGCATTACATTAGTAGACTGATGAGGTGTTTAGAGGAGGAAAGGAAATGATGGTTCAATTACAGGAAGAGAAAACTGTTAAATTCCCCACAAGCTGCTTTTACTCTGATCTTATTAGTTTCTTCTCCTTTCTTTTTTATTTGGCAGGCATCACATTGGATTTGACTGTAAAAAGGAAGCAAAGAGCAGATTGTTTGCATCTATAAGGGGCTAGAGGGACTTCTGAAAGCACAGTTACTATCAGCGGCGGCATGGGTGTCATCGCGATTCAAATAAATACAGCAGAAGAAGCTGGCAGTTCACATATGGTGCGAGATGAAAAGCACCACCTGCGTGAAGCAAAATAGAAAAAGGAACCTTTTTAAGATGCTGTAACCGACTGATCAGACTCCAACAGCTGAGCTTCGTGGTTTGCAGAATATAAGTACAAACAAAAGGAACGTGTGAGTAATATGGCGAGCACTCTTTTATTCTGCATGATGTCACACACAATGCAGTTTAGAAATCCCCACAAACAGATTCCCACTTTCACACAATATATTTACAAGTTTGATGGCTTTCAAAGCACGAAACAACGCAGCACTTAAACAGCGATCGATCTGTTTCCCATAAATCACAAGATTTCTGGTTAAAGGGTCAAAGTCACAAACGTACACAAAAGCCAAACTGTTTGAACCGCGGACGGACACGAGGCCCTTTGATGGTACAAATTGACTAATGTGGACCGAATGACTCTGGTTTACGTCTCGCAGAAATGTGAGTGGATCGTGTTTGTTGCTCGGCTTGTTTTCAAAGACAAATCCACATTTTCAACAGGATTTAGGTCATGTCTGTGCTGTTCCCTCCGGCTGTGTTAAATCCTTATGTTTAAATAAGACAGGAAGCACTGCGATACACAATTAACTACAAATAATCAAGATGATCAACAACTAAATGAAAGTTTCCTTGTTTTTTCATATCTGGTACTTTTTAATAGCGGTGTCTCCGAATTTCACGGCTATTTTCAATATTACACATTTATTTGCTACAGATCAGCAGACGGGTGCGAGCAAATGGTTTTTTCCTCTGTAAAACGCTAGTACTGACTGCACATCTATTTTTATTCTTCTTTCTTTCATGTTTTCTGAGCACAAATGTTACGGCCCATCTCCGGAGCGGCAGCAGGAGCGTTGCCTCTGTGTCTGAATACCAGAGACACACCTGCCTGCCTCTAAAATAGCTTCCTCAATAGAATTTCCTCCAGCAGCTAATTTTCTTACAGCAAAACAAAACTCTGGCTGACCTCCCGCTGTAGATGTTTGTCCATCACATCGCCTACTTCTGACCACATGACTCACATGAATTGCTTCAACACTGAGCTTTCAACATTTTTCTAAAGTAATCAAATGGACACGCTTCCATTTACCCTGGAGTTTAAAAGGTTTATACATTTCAAAAATACTTTACAGTGGAAACAGAAAACCTCCCAGTGAGCCAGTGGATTAATGGATCATGTACCACTGCATATTAAACATGCAGTACAGACATATTAAAGTTAAAAACATATATAAGGCCAGTTGGTCTTTTCAGTATTTGTCAGCATGCATTAGTAATGTGCATTAAAGTTACACTCATGTTGTTACTTTGTTACAAACTTTCCTCAGCTCTCTGCAGGATGCGCACACATCTGCACTCGCGCTATGATCAGCTGATTTCAGTTCCCGTGCAGGGAGGAGGAAAACTACAGCGTGGTCTACAACTTTTAAGGAGCCATGACGTGAGAAGTATTTTTATTTTTATTGTATGAAAGGACAAGAGTGTGATGGTAAAGTGCAAACTGCATCCAAAGAACCCAGACTGGTGTTAAAGCAGAGTGTATGCAGACCCCAGCATAGCAGCCAGAGCCTGTAATCCATAGGTGTCAAACTCTGGCCTGCGGGCCAAATTTGGTCCGCAGCCTAATTACATTTGGCCCACGAAGCCATACCAAATTATTATCAGAGCTGGCCTACTGGTATTATACAGCTAATATATATATTGTTTAGTATTAAGCTTTGCTTGTTCCTTATTCAGTTTTCCAGCAAAACTTGTTTGAGTCCATAAGAAGAGATTCATTCTTAAATCTGGAGGAAGATTTTTTTTTTAATAAATATTAACGTTAGCCCGCGACTTTGTTCCATTTTTGAATTTTGGCCCACTGTGTATTTGAGTTTGACACCCTGCTGTAATTAAACAGGTAACGATGGCCTCCATTACAGCCTGTAAATGCTTCTGCAATAGAAATGCAACGACCCTAAAAGAAAACACTAGAAGAAAATTCATGTCCTCAGAAGGATAGGGATTCGTGTTGGCGTGTCGGACTGTAGCCTAAGGTTTATATTGTTGACTTCATATACTATAGTGCATTACAGGCCATGGTATGGAGTAATGTCACGTAATGTAACAGAGTACTTTTTCCAGGAAAAAATATCCATAAGCTTTGTTAAGAAAAACTCAGATGCTGGCCATGAATGCTGCTGTTTGTGGACAAAGAGGCCAAAACACATTCACAGATAGATGTTTTTTGTCATTTAGAAGGATAGTGATAACTCTACGAAAACTATTCAGCCCAGACTCTAAACCTCATAATGAGGTGCCAGGATTTAAGAGAGACACGACCTCTGTGGTCGAAAAATGTGTGACAACGTGACAAAAACTCCAGTTCGCCAAATGGGCACTCGGGGCCGGCTCCATGCACTCCCATGTTAAAATACTCCACTTTAGAGGAGAAAGGCCTACAGACTGATACAAAAACACGACTGTGTCTGAGGTTAAGTGTACTCACAGCATGTCCAAACAGTCTCTGCAATCCCATCCATCCATTTTCTTCCACTCATCTAATGCAGGCTCACAGCTGTGCTGGAGCCTTTAAACTGCAATTCCAGTGATTTAATACTATGTTACTTAGCCCTAATTAGCAACTACAATGTTAATTAGGGCTAGCACTCATACAATGTATAAATGTGATAAATGAACCTGATAAATAAGCACTTCCCTCATCCGAATATGATTACTTCTGGTTCCAAATTTAAAACAAATACTAAAATAAATACTAAAAGCTTCCAAACGGGGGTTTGCTAGCCTACAGGTGAAGTCGAGGTGGCTGTGTCCATCTTTTAAGTACAGTTTATGCCTTTAACTCTAGTCAGCGCCTTCTAGTTTGTGCTCCTTCTCATTACTTGACACATCCTGCCATAATAAATAGGTGGTACATTTTTTACAGAGTAACATTTTCAGCATGTTATACTCTCAGCGAGCATTTTCCAACATGTTCATTCCCCATAACATTTGCCTTGTACAATAAACCCCACGAACAATAGCGATGAAGAGCAGTGTGTGAGCGTGCAGTCTGACAGGTGAGCCACCTCCCAACATAATGAGGGTCACACACCTCCCACTCTCCCATCATGCTTTGTGAGGAACTAACACAGTTATGACGCGAGCTGTCAGCGCACTGCGAGCATGTGTGCGCGCATCTGTGTGTGTGGATGCGCGCGCACGTGTACGTGTCAGAGTTCCTGTCATATTTCCCCAAGAGAACGCCTCATTGTGGTGACAGTTTCCTCCTCCCCTCTCTAGCACTGACAACTTTGTCTAACAGTTACTCACACCAGCACAAGATCTCCTTTTCTCTCTTTGTTCTGGCCTGCGCTGTTTCTAGTGATTTCTATTCTTTTCTTTCTACTGTCATTCTTTCCTCTCTTCCTCTGCGTGGCTTGTTTTAATGTTGTCAGGCACATAACCAGTGGCTAAGAGCCAGTGTGTGGGTAAGAGAGAAGAAGCAGAGATGGTGAAGAAGGATTAGGAGAGCTTTTACATGTTTTAATGTTTAACTCCGCTTCATTAATTGTACTTATAGGAGAAAAACATGAGATTATAAGCGAGATACATAGGCAGGTGGCAAAAAAACAAAACAAAAAAAACAAGATGATAATTTTTCCGAGGCCCAGCTGTCCTCGAGCCGGCATTATCCACTTTTGGAAAGCATTTTGGAAAAAGCTCAATTTCAGGTGTAGAAGCAGGGTCAAAACGAAGAGGAGAAGATTTGCGATTTAGCCGGTGCAGCGTGGATGCAGTCTGGGAGGGAACATGACACTGCATTCACTCTGCCAGCTCCACACCTAAGACAGACAGAGACAGGTGTGCTTCGTGCCAGCCGTCCTCCCTCCAGCTCTGTACTTACACGACTACTACACGCTCGCATGAGACCTGCTTCCACGCACATGTAAACACATGTACACACACAGAGCCTGTGGCCATGCACACTGATCTATAGAAGGGTTCCCAATCTGTCTGTGTGTAGGAGGTTCACAGCTTCTAACAAACTGTTTAATCTTACCCCATCACCCCAATACATTTCACTGCAGGCCAATCAGTGATGTACTGAGACTTGCCACAGGGAATAACACGAACCCCAAATGTGCTTCTCCCACACTTCCCCCTAAAATGTATTTGTTAACGAGCTGTTTGCATAACATGGGAGGGAACACTGGAAACCAGGACAAGTGAAGATTGTGAGCACAAATTGAGCTGTGAAAGAAGGCCTTAAACCACCTCTAACATTTGACATTCTGAGAGATTTGTGTGCCTGCGCTTGTTTGTGTTTTGGGGATGTTTCAGAAACGAGAGAAGCCAAGGCTTTTGCAAAGCCTGCCTGCCGGGAAGCAAGCGAAAGATTTGGATACAGATGAACTTCCACCCCTGATTCTTTTAATTGCCTTCCACACATTCCCTCTTTTTAGGTTGGGAGTCGTCTTCTTACACCTGCACGTTTCTTTCAAACATCAGGGGCGCCCTTACAGGCAGACGGAGCGTCTGTGCAGCACACACGGCCGGTGACAACAA